CGAAATAGTATAGCTTCATTCCTTATTGAAAACCACAGAAGTAAGTGAAAGGTGTTTGTGTGGCAAGAGCTGTAGAATTTGTTTCACACTCTCTGTTGGTTTAAGGGGGAAATGCTGAGCATTGGTAGCTAGAAGTTACACAGTAGGAAAGATATGAGTAACTTGAAAATTCAGAAGCTCTGATTCCACTTGCAGCATTTAACAAAATAATTTTGTTGCTTGCTTGTGAATTTAGATCTTTATGGACAAATACCCAGTCTAAAAGTCTATAGAGTAAATCAAATCTGCGTTCGTTGCCATTGTTTTTTATGCCCCTAATTGCTTCAGGACACATTTTGTGTCTGTACAGGAGTTGTAGCTCACTGCAATGGATTTCCTGGAGTCACTGGTGCTGTTTGCAGTTGCAAAACCTAATCACAGAAGTACCAATTGCTAAAGCAATTGCTAAAGCAATTGGTCAGCAGAAGATATGAGTCATGTTGACCTGAGTACAAGGTGGCCGTGAATAACAGCTTTTGCTAGAAGCAAACAAAAATTGGTAGAGGGAGGCCATCCAGCTCTGTGTGGCCTTCACGATTGCTGACTCCTGCTGACACGTACCTGCCTTAGTGGTGCTCCGAGACACCTCGGCTGGGCAGTTGCAGTACTGAAGCCACGGGCAGAGAGACAGTAAGAGGAGTATGAAGCAGTGGCACAGCAAAGGACTGCAAAACCAGATAAGAAGCCAGACTTTATTTACAAATGTCTACTCCAATTTATGCTGCCTTATCTGCACTTGCAATGCTCTGCGTAGCATTGAGTTCTTTGGCAAGTGTTTACAATACAATTAATTATCACTCTATCAGTATCACCTCTTAAATTAATTTTGTTGGTTTTTATGATTGCAACACTGAATGATTTATTCTTCCCCTTTACTCTTCCCTAATTACATAATTCCTCATTGCTGAACTCGTCTTCATCTGTCCATGTGTTTTCCCTGTTTCTTTTGTACATATGCTGTAAATTTGTGGCCCTCGAACAAGAATATAAATACTTGGTCTGAAGAAATAACTGGTGCTGTAAGTCTGCCCATAAGTGTTGTGGTCTTCTCTTTCCCCTAACACTTCTCTCCCACCCCAGCTGAATGAAGCCTGTGGATCATTTGATAGTTGAGCAGTGTTTGGGGGCAGAAATGTTACAATTGGACCTTTTAAAGTAAATTTACCAAAACCCCCCCAATTATAAGGATATATCAATTAAAGTTGAGTAGCATATCTTATGTTTAATACAGTAAGCATATGATACGTGAGTTGCACAAGGGAGTCTTTTACCTTTCCTCAAAAGCACGATGAAGATAAAAATGCGCTGAAAAGAGTAATTTTATAAAGTTAATTTGGACATGGTGTGAATGACCTGGAAATTCATGTAAAACTTAATCTGTATGCAATTATTTAAAAAAAATTGATAAGGTCAGCCAGATAAATTACACGATGCTGACCTTATTTTTAAAATTACTTTGCTTAAGGAGATGAGAGATCATTTTGGTCTTTATGTAATAACCAAAATTCAGCTTTTGTGTTAACAATAGGAATGCTAAGCTTTTATTTTCCCAGAGGTACTTAAAAAAAGTTTGACATACTTAGAAAAAGAGGATGAGATCAAGTTATAGAAATCTAAGCCAGGATTTTGTCATGGTTTTATTTTTGCCTCCAGACTTTAAGTACTTCTAATAAAGGATATATTTTAAAGCATGAACTAAAAGCCTAGAGTTCACATTGCTCTGTTTGGAGCTGGGAGAGGCTTGTACACTCCCATAGGTTTTTTTTAAGTATAGGAAAGGCATAAGTTTTTTATTGAAAATCAGTTTTATAAGGAAGAAGAAATGAAAAGACCATTCTCCAAGCAACACAACTTTAGCTTCCATTACATGCACCTTTTAGGAAAAATAGTCTTAATACACTCTTCAGGGCTTGTAGAAAACTTTGCTTATCTTATGGAATGATTATAAATTGCTCTGTATTTGTTTCTGAAGAGCTCGTCTTTTTTGGTAATTCCTTTCTCTTTCAGACTCCCCAGATAGAAATTTATTACTGGAATGAGTAATGGAATAACATTCTTTCGAGGCGGAAGTGCTGTAGTTCTGCCTCCTGAAAAAGTAGCAGTAATGCTACTTACAAATAGTTAAAAATAGTTGTAGTTTTGCACTTTTAGCAATGTTGTTGAAACAAGGATAAAAGTAGTACTAATATTAAAAAGCTTTATTTTACTATGTTGTATGTGCCAAAGAATAAGCAAAATACAGTTCTCTCTCCTGGTTTAATACATCTCTTTTTAGTGGGCCTTCAGTGAAATGTGATTTTTCTTTTTTAGCTGGCTAGTATCTGAGCTACATTTGTTTTTTACCGTACTATTTAAGTTCATACATTGACGAAACTTCAATCTCTCCTACCCTCTAAGGATTTAGAAAATGCAAAGGTAACTTTCCCGTTTTTCCAAATTGCTTATTCCTTTGTAATGACTTTTTTTCGTAAGGTACAGAAGAGAAATTTGTGTGTGTTTTCTTTCCTGGTGTCAGTAACTCTTGAAAAGGGGACCTGCATGGATTTCTCTTCTCTCTCCTTCCTTGCCCCCTGCCCCTTTTTGTTTTAAAAACTATTGCATCAAGAGGCAGTGCTGATTGGAAAGACCAGGCCTATCACACAATGAGATACTATGTCACTTTAGTGCTTTACATAGAGAAATGACTCTGCGTTGATTTTGCTTTGTCATGACTCTTTGGGGCATTGGCACTTTTGGCTCCACTTCTTCATCCTAGTCAGGGACTGCAGCCCAAGGAAATAAAAACACAACGCACAGATCAAAGCAAGAGGGAAGGGGAAAAGGACAGAGCATTCTTGCCACAGCAAGGCAGTTGTAGCTACGTAAGAGCAGAGCACTCACTGATTGACAGCTCTGCTATCAGAGTGAAGAAGGGTGTACTGTATTCCAGGTATGAATCCAAGGCTGAAAATGTTCCAGAAGTAGTGGTGCAAAATCAAGTTGTTGTTGTTGTTTTTTTTCCTTCCTTCCTCTTTCATTGGACAGCTAGCAAGATAGAAATATTTAAAAGTAGCTACCACAGGAAGGCAGTTTCTCAGAGGTGGGAAGGCTCAGGTGACATTGGGAAGAATACTAGTCTCCAGAGGAATGGCATAAAGATTGTGGTGTGATTGAGCAGTTCTTGAGCCATCTCTGGGATGGCTGCTCTAAGGCCTTCTGCCTTCCTCAGATCACCATTTGGGAAGCATTCCAGGAAAGAAAATTTTGTTGTTGTTGTTGTTGTTTTCCTAAATGGATTGAGTCCACTTGTATATCAACCTTCTTGTATCAAGGCTGATGTGACTGATAGAATTTTGTAAACTTAGCTGTAAGACCTCATAATATAGTCTTTGCGCTTGGTTTTATTACATAAGCAAATGAAAATCAGACGGATAAGCCTATAGAAATGATTAAAAGGTGCCTACCATCCTGTGATCTGAAAATGAGGAGGAGTATTATTACTGTTTATTAGAACAGTGGCCAAGTAAGTGATGGTGAGCAGAGGACTGGATTTACTTGGAGTAGGCAATTGCGTGTGATGAACACAAAAACCAGTGGTATATTTGTACACTTTCTGCAAAGGTGTAATCAACTGGAGTGAGAAAACCTTCTAGTACAACTGGAGTGAGAAAAACTAGTATGAACATGAAACTTGATATTAAAGGAATATGTAGAATAATAATCCACAGGAATGGGATTGAAGCATATGCAGATTAGAAAAGGAAAAAAAAAACAACCAGGTGGTAGGGAAGCATTCAATATTTGGCACAATCTGCCGGAAAATAAAATAGCCTTAGACTTTTTTAAAAAGAAATCACTTTGAAGAAGAATTGGAGAAAGATTATTTTTATATATTAAAAGTCTACAGTAGTCCTTAGGCTCTTAATTTAGAATGGATGAAAGCTGCTTATTTTACAAGTGAGAAATATTGAGTATTGTCAAGACTGACAGGATTGGTTTTGCCTGAGATTAGCTTCCCAGCCACAGCCTGGAAATCACATACTACTAATTAATAAGGGTAACAAGATAGTCAATAGATTTCTTTACCAGTCTCTACATTAACAAAGCACAGACTTGGTGAGCCATTGATGATATTTTAGGAGAGCTGCTTGAAGAAAGTTATTCTATTTTTCACATGTGTAACTCATGGATTACCTATTTTAAAAGGGAGAGAGGGGGCACTGGAAACTATGTAAAATGCTGCTTATCTCCATCCACCTTTAATTTTGTGCATATTAAAACTTACTTTCATTAAATAGTAATGACAAGCTTTATGGATGAATTGATTCAAGTTGGTGCACAGTCAGATGTGTAAAAACATATATGCAGTCTAGGTTCATAACTTCAGAAGTGCAGTGTCTTAGTTTTACTAAGAAATTCCTTTGAAGAGCTTTAAGATTTATGTGTGGGACAAATCACTGATTTGATCAGTTAGAAGTTTCAAAATGCATGCCTCAAACAGGAGGAGTAAATGGGAACTTGTAGGGAAAGACTTTAAACTTTGCTGAATGAAACAAGCAAGGTAAGGAAACCAGGGACTAAATCAGAACTTAAAAGAAATGGGGAAAAAAGTACTAGTCAGCAGAGCTAGACAGACATATCTTAGGGGTCATATAGTGTTAACAATTCTTTTTTTGATCTTAAGAATAGACTTAGCAAAAGGATATTGAAGTGAACTAGAAAAGATTTATGTAAACATACAGATATATATATCCATAAATATATTTACAGTGAAGTCTCTGTAATACTGGGCTTGACTGGTGGAACTTTCATTGTCATTGAAGCCAGTAAAAATTCTTGTTTTGTCTTCAGAAACTTATTGAAATCTTGTAACTGCAAACAGTAAAAGCCTCAATTACCTATAATGTCATGTGTTTGTTTATCTGAAAAGTGTATTCAAATGCCTAACATGATATTTCTTTCTTCCCCTCCTCCTGTTCTAGGAATTGGCTCTCCGTAGCCAGCTTCCAACAATGGAACAAGACGGTGGATCTCAAAATCCTGTGTCATCTCCTGGAATGTCTCAGGAACTGAGAACAATGACTACAAATAGTTCTGATCCCTTTCTTAACAGGTTTGTAGGAGTAGCTGCTAGAGGGGAAAAAAATTGATTTAGAATTCTGTTTGGTGCATGTAATAGTTTATTTTGAACATCTGTCTGTGCCAAAAGCCACAGCTGTAAATGAATCTTTCCTTAAATGGCAAGTCTAGTAAAAGTTGAGGATTAAAAGCTGTCTCCTGTGGGAGGAAGTAGTCTGTTCAGACTTGTAGGAAGGTTTTTTATTCAAAGTCATAACATGTTTGCCTCTGCATAATCTGTTGACTAACAGTCACTTCAAATTACTGACTCAGAAGAATTTGTGAATAGCTTGCTATGAGATCAAATGAACTGTTGAGGCACATTTAGGACTACACCTTGAGGTTCATTTTAAGGTTTCTCCATTCACCCTTCCCCTTCACTTCAGGTATTTAATTTAGCAGTATTTTTACTCTGCTAATGTTAGGTCTGCAAACAGTGGCATGTTTCATTTTAAATGCTGTATTATTTTGAAGTGGGTCTTCTAATTCAGGATTTAGATTTTTACAGTATAGACTAGTCTTTTTCATATAAATTTTTCCTTCATCCCTCTAAGTTGGAGTGTTTGTTTTGTTGGAAATACTGTTCTAATTACAGCTTGAAAATACTTCATACTAACCATTACAGCTTTGGAGAAACTTCTGTAGCTTGAGAAATTGTATCTGTATTTTTTTGCTTAGCATGCTGGAAAGAAAAGGTGAAAATGGTAGAACAGTCAAATCTCCAAGCCACATAAACTTTTAATTAATGGCGTAAAAATCTACTGACCTTTCAGCAGTATCAAGTAGTTGATCTTAAGTTGGAGTAGTTAATTTTGTAGTTCTTCATTGGACTGTATTTTGCCAGCATTCTAAACTGATATCAACTCAGTATCGCCTACCATAAAAGGGAAGAATTACGTATTCTGTCAGAGTTCATCACTGCTTTTCTGCATTACCTTGAAATGTTATCCTAACTCTAGGATGCTTATTGTAAGTGCTCATGAACTATAACAACATACTCATCCTTCTCTTTAATGGTACATTATTATACTCGTGGAAAACCCCACAAAATTCATCTTGATTCTTTCAATGTAAATCTTGACTTCCATGGGTTTTGCCACCAATACAGTTTCAAACCTGATTGTAAGGTAATAAGTCCACGTCATGTTAGAACTGGCATGATTTTGGAGTAGGGCAAGCTTAAATACCTGCCGTAATTTTAGATGCTGAAAACAGTTAAAATCTTTGTAAACCTTTGCTGCAATTATAAATACCTTCCCATGTTCTGTTAAATAACTTCATGTTGCTAATATCACACACTTAGGTTCTTCATCCCTAAAAATGTACTGTCATTCCATGTAACTTTTCCAGTTACTGATATTCCATCAGCTTAGCTTAAGTTTGTTTCATTTTCTGCTTTTTCCAGGAGATGTCTCTGTCATTTCATATACTCTATCCTCACTCTAATTCTCAAAATTAGTAAAGTTCGGTGGAGATGGTGCAAGAACATAGCCTCCATCTTGCCAGTGGAATCTGTTGTCATTCATATAGTTTAGGTTATGTAAATAACATCTGTTGCTCTTAAGCTTTTTTGCCTACTGCATTAAGTATTTTCTGTGCTAGTGTTATGTGTGCTACTGTGAGAGTGAGAAAAAAAGTTTGTCTCAAGGCACGCAGTGCTTTGTATATACTGGAGAAAACTAAGTTTAAAAAAAAAAAAAAAAAGCCTTGCACATGGAGAAGAAAGTAATGTTTTGTTATTAAACTCTCCCTAAGGAAGTAAGAGGTATTTCCAAATTTTGGATAAGCCCTTCAGGAAGACTTACCTCCTCCACAGACAAATCTGATTAGAAAACTTCATTTCTTGTTAGAGGGAGGGGTTGTCCTCCATAGAATTAATCCTTGGATCTGGTATGAGCCTTAACTGTGCTGGCCCTGTCCCAAGGAATAAAAAGGACAAGAAATCTTAAAATTGACCTGCTGTCCTATGAGAAGCCTCTGTAGATGGATGATTGCCTTGATGTGTTACAGTAACATACTAGCTTGAATTTCTGGAAGGCTGTTGCCATCATACATTGAGCCCAGGTATATTTTGAAATTTGTTCTTAAATGATATAGAATACTCACATCTTCAAAACCTGTTTTTTGATGTGAAAGAAACATCTTCAAGTTTCAAATGGCCACGGCAGTGGACTAACGCAGTTTATCCATTGTGAGTCTACGAACATGAAATATAAAATGATGGATCTTTACCATTAATTAGAAACAGGAAAAAAAAAAAAGCTAGAAAAGGCAAATTCATGTTGCCTGTAATTTTTTGGCAGGTTGATAATTAGCAAGAACTATTTTCTGTAAGGTGCAAAAAGATACTACTTGCCTAATTGCAAATATGTTTAACTGGGCTTTTTTTGTAGCCCTTACCCCATGCAAAATACTGAAAACCCGTACCTGACTTGAGTTCACAATATCTTAATTTGCATTTTCGTTTGAGCATTGTCCCTCCTAAGTAATTTTATGTACATTACCACACTTAATTCTGGCATGTGGATAAGGGAAAGGAATTTTAAAAAAGGAATTTGTGGGTATGTGTTGCTATCTCTGAATTGGATGCAGCAGTCCAGTAGTTGTGATGTCCATTAAGTTCAGACTTGGAGAAATACTTCTTTCTATGTTTATAGGGTATATATAATTTCCTGGTGAGACAGTCCTCCTAACTTTGGGTACCAAAGTTGAATATCCAAAGCTTAGGTAGTTGAATATTTTCCGCTGCTTACATAATCAGAACATCTGAAAAATCTCAGAAAATAATTGCTACATTGGAGCAATTTGAGAAAATATACAGTAGTGTTTTGATTTATGTAGTCAATCTTCTGCCTGCTGTCTTCAGTTCTTACTGTCATTGTGGTATATTTTATTTTTTGAATGGGACATCCAGCAATGCAGACTTCATTAGACTATTTCACCTTTTAGTTTGCCACTCTGTTTATATGTTTTTGTCTGTTAGATTTATATTGGTAGTGATGGTAATTCTCCATTTAACTCCTAAATTGGGATTTCTTTTGTATACACATATTCTAACAAGTATTAGTTGAAGAAGCATCCACTCAATTTTGAGTAATGCAGTTTAGCTGCGTGTGGTAATTTTGGGTGGTGTGACTACTAAATGAAGAAATCCTTGTTGAAGAAAGAGGGAATGTGTATTAAAGAGTGGTTTGAAGAGAAGGGCTGGACATTCCAAGTGTGAGAGCAGCAGCCAAAAAGCTGCCTCTACTAGAGTGATTTAGTTCAGCATAGTCTCAGTTCTGTTTTTAGTATTTGGTCCCATGAAGTAAACCAGCATTTTTTTTCACATAAGTTTTAAATAGCTTAATTATTAGGATTGTTATCAAATGTGTGGTGACACTATTTTTAAATCAATCTAAAAATAAAATAAATATTTATGATTTAACTATAAAGAAATGTTAGGTTTTCTTTCTTGTGTGGCAAAGATGTCTTCGTGAAATCTAATACATATACATATATTTATGGCTGATGGCGTTCTACTTACATCCGATATTGAATAGCTATTCAACCATCATCTGTTTGGTTCTTCATACTTGACAAAAAGGCATACACTATATATTTCATGAGCACATTATGGGAAAGATCAGTATGTCTTCAAATGCTAATTCAAACAGTAAGTCAAGTTGATCTTCATTTAGTATTCAAACTGGAAAATCAGTAAGGATTCTCAGTGAATGCTACCACAACCTGAAGATTTTGAAAATATTTTGTGAAGCTTGGGTATTAGGAGATGCAGGGGGAAGGGAGGTAATGGTATATTTCTACAGCTGCTTATGCAGGCCACAGCTCCTTCCAGCAAACCTGCTCCAGCGTGGGCTTCCCACAGGATCCCAGCCTCCTTCGGGCACCCACCTGCTCCGGCGTGGGGTCCTGCCCGGGCTGCAGGTGGAGATCTGCTCCCCCGTGGACCTCCCTGGGCTGCAGGGGGACAGCCTGCCTCACCATGGTCTTCCCCACGGGCTGCAGGGGAATCTCTGCTCCGGCACCTGGAGCATCTCCTCCCCTCCTTCTGCACTGACCTGGGGGGCTGCAGGGCTGGGGCTCTCACATCTTCTCACTCCTGTCTCCCAGCTGCTGTGCAGCATTCGTTACCCTTTCTTAAATACGTTATCACAAAGGTACCACCACTGTCACTGACGGGCTCAGTTTTGGGCACCAGCAGGACCATTTTGGAGCTAGCTGGAACTGTCTGCATCTGACATGGGGTCAGTTCCTGGTGTCTTCTCACAGAAGCCATCCCTGTAGCCCCCCTGCTACGAAAACCTTGCCATGTAAACTCAATACACTGGCCTACTTCCCTCCCTGCTCTCCCCCCCCGGCCCATCCCAAATTGCGTGCTGCAGCTTTCTTGGTCTTCCTCGCTCCACTGGCAGTCAGATGGCAGTAAGGCAGCGAATGCATGTAAGGTCCCATGCCATCGCTGTTTTGTTAACTGTTCCATCAACAAGACTGTTCTGAACAGGGTTTGCTTACAGGATGGCTTCTGTACCAGTATTTGATTTATATTAGGGCGCTCTCTTGCCCTGACGTGTACGACTGAACTAGTAGTAATGCAACAGTGGGAAGCAATTGAAAAATCACTAAAGGAGTTCCAACTATAGCTCTTATTTATAACAGCAGTGACCTAAAAATAGATTTCAGTGGTAGGTTAAGTGGGGACTTCAGTAGTTAGAAATACTTTTTTATCCTTACAGAAGTGTGAAAGGGTATGCTGTTATTATTATTGTTTTATAATAATTAGGGACTATCTGTGATATGCTTCCAATGGTTTGGAAAAGGTCTGAATAAAATAAAACAAAACTCAGGTGTCTCACAAAGCCAAAGGCTTCAGATTTTGATTAGAATAGAGCATTTCTCCCGACAGCAGTGTTTTCAAAGCCCTTGAATTGGTTCAAAAACAAGCATTTATTTTAATTTCTTCAGTACTCTACCCTCATTTTTTTCCTCCCTTTCTTCTGTTACAGTGGAACATATCACTCCAGAGATGAAAGCACAGATAGTGGACTTAGCATGAGCAGTTACAGTGTCCCCAGAACCCCCGATGACTTCCTGAACAGTGTTGATGAGATGGATACAGGTCTGTTTTTGTGTACAGCCTTAATGCATGTTTTCCAAATATACTTGTGTCCATTTGCAATGAAAACAAGCAACTCTGAGAAGCTGTGATAATTTTTGCATTGTTTTTCCACCTTCTTCTGTTTCTCTAATAGAAATATTATGGATAGATTTGTGAAAAACATAACTTGTAATCAACTCTACTGAGAGGATGGGTGATTACTCATAAATAGTATCACTCCTGTTATATGGAATTTGAGTGTTCATTTGCTTTTTTAAGTAATATCATTTGTTCAGACCTAAGAATAGTGCCTTGTCCAGTGTTGCTAATACTGCTGCAAAACAATGCTTGACTCAATATTGTCTTTTCCTTTAAGCATAAAAATTAAAATATGCTAAATGACATCAAAGATACGTAGAGATTTGGGTCAGGAGGTGAAAAGGTTGAAACAAAGGCATGTTCTTTGTACATCTGCACGCAGTCAAGTCATCTTTGGTTTTTGTGATGGATTTCTATGAATCATGTTGCTTGTATGATGCAAGAGATATATGATTAACCTTTAACCAGTTGTCCTGATAAATTGTGGGTTTGGTACTTCGAGTATATTTAATATCCATCTTGCTTTGTGTTATAACTAGGTGACAGTATCAGCCAAAGTAACATACCGTCCCATCAGAACCGTTTCCCAGACTACCTTGAAGCCATTCCAGGGACAAATGTGGACCTTGGGACACTGGAAGGAGATGGGATGAATATAGAAGGAGAAGAACTGATGCCAAGTCTGCAAGAGGCTTTGAGCTCTGACATCCTTAATGACATGGAATCTGTCTTGGCAGCCACCAAGCTAGATAAAGAGAGTTTTCTTACTTGGTTATAGGGGCCTCAGGGAGACTGAATTCTAAATCTGTGAAGGATCTAAGGAGATTAGGACATCTGTATCTGAAGTTCAGAACAAGCCAGTGTGGCACACTTTGGCTTGTGTTCAGAAAAAGTAAATGAACAGATATTCAACAAGATTCTTTTCATTTTGCTCTTCCTTGTCCATCGCTGCTGTTATATATTGCTGACTTTTTTCCACAGTTGACTCTGAAGAACAGACATCTTCTTGATCTTTTTCTATTGCTGTTGCAACTACTGTTCAAGGGGGGTGGGGAGGGGTGATGAGCCTATTTGGATGACGAATGCCATTCCTTTTGTCCTAGTGTGCGCTTGCATATCATTTTATCTAAGTACTCAGATTTGAGAGTTAATTTCTGCATGTCACTGCTTGTAGTTTGCTCAGCTAGTTGTCTCCTGCTGCCTGTGGCAAGTGGTAAAACATGACATACTGGGGTGACAAGCCAAAAATGATGTATCTGGTCAAAAGAAGTCAATACTGATTTGGAGATACAACTTAAAGGAGGGCTGAAGACTGTTTGGCATTAAGTGTTTCTACTAGTAGCTCTTCCATTAGTCACAAAGTGCTCTTGTTCATATTTTATGTTATAGTAAATCATGAGTCATTTTACATAGAAACATATATGAATTTTGATTGTTGCCACATATTCTAGCCTAACTTTTGTTTGTCAAAAATAGTTTGATTATTTTTGTTAGTTGGTTTAACTGTAGCTGTAGGATGGGAAGTAATTATAGGTGTTCTCTTTTTTTTTTAATAGTGAAATCTAAGGGTTTTTTCCTGATTTCACATAGTCTTATTTAAATCTGAATTGTCTGCTTTTTTATACTTAAAACATGCCTATTGTAGCCTGATAAGCTAGTGAGTACATAAACCAGTATGTTTTGCCTGTAACTTTTTTATTTTTTTAAAGGCTAGCTTTGAATGTAATCCATTAGAATTCACGACCAGTGGCTTATTTTTCATGTTTATTTGCAAGATTTTGAATTAGAATCTTATTGCAGCAATGTAAAAGTTAGAATCCTAAGTGTTGTATGTACAATTTTAAAATGCATTTTAAAGTAGCAGAAACCATTTTAAAATGACAGATACATCTAATCTCTCTTCTGGTTTTCAGTTTTGATATCTAAGTGAGTTTAGATTTTAAAATCCTTAATGGGAAAAAAAATTATGAAAAGTTTCTCTTAAGTTAGCATGGAAAAAAGTCTGAACTGTTAATATCACTCTTAAGTTGCAATGAAAAGGCTAGAACACCAAAAAAAAATCCTCAGAAAAACTCCTAAGTGTAATAGTTATCAAATTCTGTTTGGTGAAAAATAAGCCCTGGACACTATATGTAGAAGAATGTAAAGATATGTGTTAGATGGTGACATGAGCAGGTAATGAAGTGTATATTAGTAGTAGAGCTTAGCATGGGGTAGAGGTGAATATGAATTATCTTTATTTTAACAGGAAAAGATGTATCACTAAGTTGTCTGCAGGAGTTGACACAGTTTCCAAAGAGTATTTTTAAATGAACAAAATGAGCATGAATCAAACTTTCAGTATAAGCTATGAAGTTTTATGGGGCTTTTGTTTTTTTCTGATAAAAAATAGTGTCATCAGTTAACACCTCTATAATTAAGGGCCTGTCACCATTCTCAACATGAGCCTTTATTTTCAAGGGTGTATAACATGGCTATAAAGATACCGTAAGCGTGAAACTTGGTTTTGAAAAAAATCTCAGCTAGCAGGGACTTCTCCTGGGGAGAGATTTTTGGGGTTTTTTTTGTTTTGTGTTTTTTTAAAAACATTGGATATTTTTCGAGTTTGGAACAAACCAGCAAAACAAAACAACAAAAAACCCCGTATTATTATCATTTGAGTTTTTTTATGCTTCAGAAGTAGTTCTGTTTTGGGATAATATAAAGAATGAAAACTCTGAACCAAGTCTCATTTTAAAAACTGAAGCAGCAGAGGCAGAGATGTGAAATTTGCCACTACAAATCTACATTTACTACTTTACGTAAGGGTCTTAGTGTTTGAAATACATAAAATTGTTTGCGACTTGTTATGGCATACAAGCAGGTTTTAAAATACCAATTTTCAAAACACATCCACAATGACATATACATTCTGCTACACCAATAATTCAGCGATTAATAGGCCACTTATATTGTGCAATGACACAGTAGCTCCTAAAGCAGTTTATTGTGTCCAAGATAGGGATTTTAGTAGCATTTTTACAATTTCATTATGAATTCTTCTCTTTCTTCCCTTCAGGAAAAAAAGACACTAAGTTGTTATAACTTGAATGGTCTGACATAAAACCACAACAGCAAGGAAATTCAGAGTTGATTCCATTTCAGTTGTCTTCCACAGTTGTATCCAGGTATAATAGCACATACGATGCACTGAGTGCAAACTCCTGACATGCTGTACCTTGCTACAACAGGGATGAGTACAGAACAAATTTTCTTTCCTTGCTTCTGTGTGTTTGTCACAGCTTTAATATATGAATGTTTTCTTCTCATTGTAGAAACACTAAATGGCTTATACTGTATTTGGGTAGCACTGCTTAGGGTAGATACTGACAAACTGGGAATCCTTGAACTGCTCTAACCTGAATTATGTTTTGTGATACTTATTTTAATTGATTTTAATACATTTCCGTTCTCTCATTTATTAGGAAACATACTATAGAGATGCTGTACTGTTGGCAATCAACATTAATCTGGATTTTTTTTTTTTTAATTCTGCAAATGCATTGTTTGATGAAGTGGTTAAAATTGTTTGAAATGCAAAAGTGTTTTGGGTAGTATTTTATACTGATGTATATATTGAAACAGAAATCATTGTAATAATTGTAGCTTTTAGTTATAAATACACTACATGCAGAGATGGGGCTGTACAGTACTGTGCTGTTCAACACCTGCGCAGGGCTACGGCTTGGAAACAGGCTGCAGTGTCAGTAAACCATACAGATCAAATATTGTACCATTCAGTGTTGGCGCTCACCAATGCAAAAGGAGGAGAGACAATTTCAACATGATTAACGCTACATAGCTTTCACACATCTGGTAAATTAGTACTAAAGTGACCTTTTCACTTACAAGCATGTTTTTTATACAAATTAACAGGTTTGCCTGTGTAAAATAATTTGTTTTCTGTATCTTGGAAAAAATACTCTCCACATTTAGAATGTTGTATGTTAGAGAACTCTTAAATGCACCCTTGTCAAAAATTATATATATTAGTTACCAATGTTACTTTTAGATATGAGCATGACTGTAAGTTAGGTACTTAAGTACGTTCTGTTACATTATTTTTCTTTATGTAATACTTTTTCAGTTGTTTTATTTGGTATAAATATATACTTTGTGCTTAAACATCTTTGTTTGTTTTTAACATTCAATAGTATGTAAAGATACTGTTTCCTTCAGTAAGATGGATGCATTGAATTGTTGGAATTCCTATTGTAGTATGTCTGTTCTCGTCCCCCTTGTCACTGCTTTTGTAGTCATAAACTCCAGTCCTGCAAACATTGTGTACAAGCTCACCTAAGAGACAAGGGAGCCCCACTGAAGTCAGTGAAGGCTTAACGTTAAAGTATGCATCTCTGTGTTTGCAATAACAAAGAGACAGTGACTCTACTGAGCCTCATACAGTTTGTATAAAACAATACTTTAATTGCATATGGCACTATAGTGAGAGCTGGTAACAGCACTTCTGTTATCTACTATAAGAAAGCATCCACTTTTTGCAGATATGCTTGCAATGTTCAGGATCTTCCCACATAGCAGATACGTTTTTGGGTAACTCTAAGTTTATACAATAATTTGTGGCAGACTATCAATAAAGACACGCTATTTTCCTTTCCAAGTTTTGACTTATGAATTGTGAAATATGTAATGACATACCTTGAAAGTGTCTGAAGATTTTAGTTTTAATGAATCCTGTCAAGATTTTTTTATTTTGACCTTCTGTAAAACAGAAATTCTGAAACATGTTTTTTTTAATGTAATGTAATTCATCGTGGCTGAAGTCATACACTATTTGCATTTTAGCAGTTCCAGAGTTACTGCTGTTGAGCACTGAAATGCCTCAACTCTGTCAAATTCAGTGCAGTTGTGTGTTCTCTTAGAGGTCCAGGGCTCGATGCTTCTATCAGTTTGTCTTTTACTCATGAGTTTGTAGCTAGGTTTAGTCACTCAGATTCTTTAAATTTAAACCTAACATCACACTTTGCACCTGGGAGCAGAAAGCCAGTACCAGGGCATGACAAGGCACCAATTTTATTTGCTGATATCACTCTCTCCCATTTTGTAAGGTGGTGACGTATTGCAGCAATTGAAATATGAGTGACCTTCTGAGGCAGCCCTAAATAGACTGTATTACAGCAAAGCAGGATATCTGGCTCAGGTGGTCCAGGCTTGCTTGGCAATTCTTCCTGAAATATTTTCAACACTTAGTTAAAAATAAAAAGTACTGGTTTCAGTAAGCCAGAAATAGTATGCTTCCAAGGAAGCTTTGAGTCTTCCCTATGGTAATGTGCAGGTTATCGGCAAAAAAAGTGTTTTTCACCTAGGATCATTACAAAATAATTATCTGAGATCAGGCTATGATCTGTCTAGCACCTCCTGTTCTGGAGGTTCATTCAGTGATAAAGTGGGGCCATTGATTTTATTTACAGTATCAGCATCCATAGTTTATATGTTCTGTTGAAGAGTAAAGGTGTGCTTTGTGCCCGTTGTCATCACCACTTATTATTGCTAACAATAGTTATCCACATCCTCTAAATTGAGATGTCATCAAAATATCTGTACAGCATGAGAAATCTTGGTTGACGTGAAATGGTAAAACCAACACTAACAGAAAAACCAAATTGTCTTTAAAATATGGGGTAGAGCTTTGTACCAACTACTATACCCAGTACTTAATGTCTCTTAAACAAAAAGCCAGTATGTTTTTCTCTAAAGAAAAAAGATTGAGGAAGCGTGTTGAATAAGAAATGGATAAATATCTATAGATCTGACAAAGCTGCCTAATGTTTTTTGTGGAAAACTCATGATTTTTACTTTTCCTGACATGCTCCTCTCTCTTTAATGCAGAGGTTGTAACAGTGAATGCTACAGATGTAGGCTGTTATTGACTGGTGTTATTTTCTCTATATGGCAGTGAAGTTGGTCACTCTGATTATAGTGTTTTCTATATTAAACTGGCTTGTATTAGAACAGAGAGGCAAAGTAATCTTATTGGATTTTCCTGTATTTTTGTTAGCAAGTGATTTAAAAAAAAAGAAAAAGGGGCGGGGGGGTGGTGGCAGGGAAAGCCGGGAGCAGCCGAAGAGGTTTTCTTCAATATTATGCAACAGCGAAATAGAGCTCCATAAAAATGATATGTTAGATCTCACCTGAAATGCCCTTTCTCCTTCTCCATATATGTTATTTCTGAGCTACTCTAGCATGCTTTAAATTATCGTATTTACCATCTGCAAGTTTTGCCTGCCTAACACCTGAAGACTGGGACTGTAGCACTAGGTGCTCGTTGTCCCCAAAGGAGAGCAGAGTTCCTCCTCTCCAGAATTCAGCTGTCATCCTGTTTAAAGTCTGTACTATAATGCAGAAATTGCAGTTTTGACTCCAAAGATGCTGCCCAACTACTGTTACAGGATGGTTATTGGCAGGCATGATTTTGAACAGTGGTGAATTCCTGTTCTGGTTTGACTTCCCTGAGACTGGGAAAGTTCGGCTTTTCCCATTTCATTGCTTTGATTTCTGCAGCTAGCTGTCATAGCAGGGGTACGGAGTCCTCCCCTCGCCAGTGCCGCTGTGCCTGCTGGAGGACTTCTAACCAGCACTTCAACCTGATGTTTACAGTGGTTTTTTTAAAGCTGACAGTTTTACTCAGTCTTTCACTCATAAGTTTCATTGTTAGGCATGCAAATACAGTTGTCTCA